TGGCGTCTGCGTGTCTATAAGAGCAAGTGCATCAAGCTCCCAGTTGGGAGTCCTAGTCAGCAAGCTCTCAAGAGCTCTCTGAGCATTTTGAAATAAAAAATTATAAAAATAAACCTTTGGAGCACCTCCTTATTTTATAGAGCTCCAACGAGCTCCTAGGAGCTCCAACATTATCAAAAAAACCTCTCTTCTATCAAAAAAAACCTCACTTCTATTGCAAAGATACAAAGGCTAAAGACTTTTTCGTAAAAAAAATATTTCTTTAAGGCTTGGGTTTAAAAGTAGAGGGGGTTTTGTAAAAAAAAAAAAATTAATGCTTGAGAGCTCCCAAGAGCTCCGGTGGGTCGCAATGACCACATCAGCCTAGGGAGCTCCTTGGGAGTTTGCTGAGAGTTTGTTGGAGGGGGGTTTAAGAGCTCCCACTGCCAAGTAAGTCTTGAGAGCGACGGTGGGAGCTTGGTGAACTTGCTCTAAGGATAACCTAGAAGTTCGTCGTAGCCAGTCCTAACCACAGGGCCACCCGTGTGATTACAACTACAATCCTAAGGTCCCAGTGTAAACTGACTAACTTCAGAGTCCCCCCGCATAGTTGGACCATACCTCACGGTACCATAATGTAATTAATCCTAAATAAAAATATATCAAACAACAGGAAGATTACTAAGAAAGAAACAAGAGATTAGACCAACGCAGATATACTTAAATCATTTAAGATGCCAAAAAAAAGAAGAACATAGTAGTGTTAAAAACTCAACAAAAGAAACTAATTAGCAAAACATAGCAAAAATAGCAGATCGATGTTCACCTAAAGCCAACAACCGTTACCATGAAAAACTACCAGCAAATAAAACCCCAACTTAATCAACCTCCTCCATCTTGGAGCCTTCTGCATCCTCCTCAAGCGCAGGCATATCGTCGTCCCCCTCAGCAACAGCATCATCCTCATCGATGCTCAACCCCAACTTCAACATCCTATGAATCCTATTCCCGAACGTGTTAGGATCGTCAAGGCTAAACCCAGAGGTCAACAGCGATGTCTCATACAGCAACATCACAAGATCCTTCACCGATTTATCGTTCTTATCAGCCTCCGCTCTCTTCCTCAGCTCGTCCATGATCGCGTTCTCAGGATTAATCTCCATCGTCTTCTTGCTTGACATGTAACCAGCCATGCTTGAATCTCTCAAAGCTTGAGCCTTCATTATACGCTCCATGTTCGCAGTCCATCCGTACTCACCGGTGACCAAGCAGCATGGAGAGTCGACGACACGGTCAGAGACAACAACCTTCTCCACTTTGTCTCCAAGGACCTCTTTGATTACTTTGCAAAGACCCTCGAATTTCTCTTTCAGCTCTTCCTTCTTTTTCTTCTCGTCTTCGCTCTCCTCAAGTTTTAATCCCTCTTTCGTTGCAGAGACGAGCTTCTTGCCTTCAAATTCCTTGAGTTGCCCAACTGCATACTCGTCGATGGCATCAACCATGTAGAGGACCTCGTAGCCTTTCTTTTTAAGCTTCTCGAGGAATGGGGAGTTTTCAACAGCCTTCTTGCTTTCTCCAGTAATGTAGTAGATATCACTCTGGCCTTCCTTCATTCTCGTTACATAATCTTTGAGGCTGGTAAGTTCATCACCGCTCTTGGTAGAGTGATATCTTAGCAGCTCGGCGATCTTGGCCTTGTTTGTGGAGTCCTCGTGGATTCCGAGCTTGAGGTTCTTGGAGAACGCCTCGTAGAATTTGTTGTAATCTTCTTTGTTTTCTGCAATCTCAAAGAAGAGCTCAATGCACTTTTTGACCAGGTTCTTGCGGATAACCTTCAGGATCTTGTTCTGTTGTAGCATCTCTCTTGAGATGTTAAGGGGGAGGTCCTCAGAGTCGACGATTCCCTTAACAAAGCTCAAGTACTCGGGGATGATCTCTTCACAGTTGTCCATGATGAAGACACGGCGAACATAGAGCTTGATGTTGTTTGGCTTCTTCTTTGTGTCGAAGAGATCAAATGGAGCTCTCTTGGGCACAAAGAGGACAGCTTTGAATTCCAGCTGACCCTCAACTGAGAAATGCTTAACAGCAAGATGCTCTTCCCAGTCGTTTGTGAGACTCTTGTAGAAGGCAGCATACTCTTCCTTGGTGATTTCCTCGGGCTTTCTCATCCAGATAGGCTTCTGTTTGTTGACGAGAGCCCACTCATGGGAAACCTCCTTGATCTTCTTCTTTTTCTTCTCTTTCTCTTCCTTCTCCTCATCGACATCTTCTACCTTGCCTTCCTCATCTTTCTTCTCTTCCTCCTCATCCTCGTCGTCTGAAATTTCTTTCTCGGTGGTCTTTTCCGTCCAGAGAGAGATTGGATAGCTGATGAACTCGGAGTGTTTCTTGATCAGATCCTTGAGGCGTCGCTCTTCAAGGTATTCCAACTGTCATGACAACAAACAAACTTGTAAGGGGGAAAAAAGGACACAAACAAGCGCTACTATAGCAACATTTGCAGAAGAGCATTACTGAAATAATTGACATAAAACTGATATTAACAAAACCCGGATTCAAACAGTTAAAGTATAAATAAACTAAATTAAAGAACGATAATAAATAAGTACAAAGTGACGAAGCATAAAGAGAAGAGTATCATCTGATGGTCATGTACACATTCTTTCATCGTGTACAAATTCTTTCCTCAGGGTAGAGGAATTCCTTCAGAAGTAATAGCGCTATTTGCAATAGTTATCATTTTATTTTTACATGACATTGATCCTGATAATTACTTAACTCTTCAGAAATAGAGCAAAGATCCATGTGAGGTAAAAAATGTTCCATTAGCAACTACCATGTCCCATTACGGACAGTACACAGAAAGAGACTAACCATGTCTCCTAAGCATGCAGAATATACCATCATAACAGACCTGTAGAATGACCGGCAGTGAGATACCAGAGGAACACTCATCAATTAACTGAATCAAGACTAGCAACCTGGATTAAGTCTTCGAAGCAGCGTAACAACGCTGTTCTGAAACTGATCATCAATAGATGTTCTTCATTTGCATTTAGTTTAGCTACGGGCTTACAGTCTTCTACCTAGTTAACTAGGCAACCATATTACTCCAAAAGCGAAATTTGGCAAAACTAATAAGAGAAACAGGTCCCATAACATGGAAAAAGAACAATATAAGTGAGGAAGACTTAAATCAAAATAAATACTATGATCAATCTAAGGTTCAAGGCATATGTTTGAAGTTCCTTCACAGCACAGTACATAACATGACATCCTACAATAATATAAAAACTAATACAGCTACAACATAAATAATCAGATTAATCAACCCAAAAATAAAATAAAGAATATTTTTATAGACCATGAAACATGGCAACAATATATACCTGATCCTCCTTAAGGAAAAGAGTGATCTTGGTTCCCCTTCCAAGACTCTCACCAGAATCCCTGGTAACAGTGAAAGAACCTCCAGCTTGTGATTCCCAAATGTACTGCTCGTCATCATTGTGCTTAGTAGTGACAACCACTCTCTCAGCTACAAGATATGCAGAGTAGAACCCCACACCAAACTGACCAATCATGCTAACATCAGCCCCAGCAGCCAAAGCCTCCATGAACTCTTTGGTCCCAGACCTAGCAATGGTACCGAGATTGTTGACAAGATCGGATTTGGTCATCCCAATACCACTATCAATAATGGTGAGGGTGTTGGTGGCCTTATCGGGGATAATGTGAATGAAGAGCTCAGGCTGGGCATCGAGCTTGCTCTTATCTGTGAGGCTCTCAAATCTGATCTTGTCCAAAGCCTGTTGATAAAACATATTTATTGAGAACAGGAAATCTCAATGGATCTTATATCAAACTTAACTTCATTGAATCATCAAAATCAAAAGCACAGCTTTCATGAATAGTAAACTAATACACATTAAAATAACTAAAAAGTAAATCCAACAATTATAGGAAAATGAAATAAATAATAAAAGTTATTATAGACACCGGCACGAAACCATGATGTTAACACAAATGATTCTGTAAATCACAAAATTGAGCGGGTTTGATTTTTCCTTTATTGCCGCAAATTGTTTGAATTAGACCATCTAACCGTAAGAACAGCTTTCTTAAAGATACCCAAAAATCTATTACTACAAGGTGATAGTTTTAATCTATTGTAGTCTAATAATTATACATAAAAAATAAATTTTACTTAAAAAATATGGCATTTAAATAAATGCCAAACTTTATTCTAGGCAGTGACACAAAAAAACCACGAGATTTACAAAATTCTTCAGTAAACCACAAATTTAAGTCAAAGTTTATCGTTTTCATCATTATTGGAGTTGTTTAATGACGTGTAGAGTTATTTCACTCTTAGTCCCTTAAATCTTTAATATATAAATCTCTCAAAATTTTCTCCATTTGTACGAAAATTACTCCCCAAAAACATTGAAACTGCTAGTAAGTACCATTTCCCATAAGTTGTTACAAATTAGTCCCTCCAACCTAGAGTAGACATAGCAAATGTTGGGATAAATTTGAATCAACTTATGAGCATTGGCTACTTAATAGTAATTTCAGTGATTTGACGGAGGGATTTCAAAATATTAAAGGGACTAATTCGAAAACCCCACGTGATTTTAGAGCATTCGGCACAATATAATCATTTCTTAAACTTTCTACATAAATAACCTGGATCACACTCAACCAGGATCAACGATCACATTAACGATCTAACAAAAAGTCCACAGATCTAGACCTACAGAGACAAAAAGAGATCAAATTAGGGTTTTGATGCTCACATCGGATGAGTTGCTGATGAGCTCCCGAAGAAAGATCTCCTTGTTGGAGTAGAAAGTGTTGATGATCAGACTCAAGAGCTGGTTGATCTCGGCCTGGAAAGCGAAGGTCTCGGTCTCGGTCGCCATTTCTCTCGAGATCTAGAGAGAATTAGGGTTTTCAAGCGTTAGGGTTTGAAGAAAGTGAGAGAGAGAGAGAGACGATTTTGAGAGGGATCTAGGGTTTAGAATGGAGACGAGGTTTTATAGGACGGAGAAGTTCTAGAGAGTTCGAAAAGACCGAGAGTGTGGGGACGCAAGCGGGGCAGGGAGGTGGATGGTGGTTGGTTGAGGGAATAGGTTCCGTGGGTCCCGCAGAACCAGTCTCAGCGGTTGGATCGTTCTTGGAGATCTGCTTGGCATTTTGGCTATTTTGCGGGCTGTTTGGATTAAAATCCTAATTATGAGGAAACTAAATTTCGAGAAAAGAAATCGAATTTTTGTGTGTGTGTGTTTTCCGTCTACAAAATCTCAGTTTCAATCGTTTGGGTGGTGAGTTAAAAATAGTAACTTAAGACTTCGTTTAGATATCATGGTATTTTACTCATTTTCATAGTGTTTTTGTAAAAAACAAAACACCATGTGTTTGGAAACCATGATATTTTTTGAGCTAAATCATTCTCAAACAAAAAACACAACGTTTATTTCAAAACATTTTTAGGTGTTTTAAGTTTGAGAATTTGTTAATATAATATCTAACATAATATATTAAATATAATTAATATATAGTTATTATCAACATACTTATTATATAATTTATATTATACTATATTATATTATAATTAATCTAATATATTAGTAATATTTATTAAATAATATAAATATATAATAATTAAAAATATATTATATAATAATATAATAATGTAAAAAAATATTCATAATACAATAATATTGATTTATATCATAAATAATTATTGTTTTACT